CCCATCTTTGCGACCTTGTTGCGGGCCACAGATCCTGCTCATCTCAGCACTAGCCTCAAGGGTTATGACTCGGTTGGAAACTTTCACAACCTGACTACTTGTTTCACTGATGAGACCCAACCAGGTGGAAACAGCTGTCCAGAGCTTCCTAGCTTTTCAGTTCGAGCTTCATTTGCTATGTACACGATAAATTCACCTTTGAGATTGAAATAAATCCTCCATTACTCACTTAAAAGATTAAATCCAATAGTTCTTATCAAATAAGGTAAAGTTCAGTTTCAACAACACACTAACAGAAGAAATATTATATTGTCATCTGGAGATGCTAAATACAGCTTGATAAAGGTAATTCGTCATGTGAAAACAGTCTATTTAGTACTTTAGTTATAAATGTACCTAATAGAAATCGGAATTAAAGAGCACTAATTACTTTATTCATCTTTGACGCTTTGCCTGTCTCTTCATTATTATTTACTAAGTCACACCAAGGGGTGTGTGAAGGATGATTACGGCAACCATTAGGGGTTTCGCTCAACGTTGCAGTGGTTCAAGCATTTTTCTGATTATATCTTCCTGAAGTCCTATTCCTATCATTACAGCGCTTGTAGTCTACTTTTCCATATCCACTATGAACTTAATTTTTTTGACAGAGGCTATTAGTTCTCACTAAAACTTGCAGAAATCTTGTTTTTCTCCCATTTAATAAGTACATTCCAAACTATACGTCACTGCATCGAAATGGAGTCAATTGGACCTCAAACAACCGAATGAATCCTGTTGCTCCCCATTTGAGTGCTTTCGCAACCACCTAATAAATGAGGTTATTTTTAGCCCTGAATTCTGAAGTAGCTTATAACTAATAACTGCAACCATCGTTACGGTACATAAGATTTTGAGAGAAATCAAAGTGTAGTAAATACCTTATTTGTACAGCGTAGGAGTGATCTTTTTAATCATTTGAAAATTTTCCCATGCAGTCTGACTAAAAACAGACCCGGAACATCTGTGTTATTCAAGATAATGTTTGGATGCCATCTATAACACTGCATAGAGCAGGCTTTACTAGTTAAGCTACAAAATCACGCCAAAAGCTTGAGTATTTTGTTTCTTAATTGTCAATCCAACTAGGAAAGGTACTTGAACGCAGTATGTAGCATTCAAACTGTCACAGTAAATTAAAGTTTCATTAAATCATTGGCGTCAATTAGTTAGATTCGGAGACTAAGTGCATTGTTTGTGCTTTATTAGTAGGCGTTACAGCAAGATTCAAACTCCAGTACGGTTTTATTCTGTTACCGATTAGATTATTTGATATAATTATGTTGCATGTAGGCAAACGGTTACAGATGAGGAGGAAGGGGAATGAAGTACTGTGTGATAAATAAGTAGATTGCGGTTGAAGCTAGAGGTCCAGATGCATCCTTCCGTTTGTCTACCGGATCTGTCGGCTGAAGTGTCCCAATACCTTCTGATACGTCTTAATAATCTATATATA